GGTTTAGGGTTTAGGGTTTAGGGTTTAGGGTTTAGGGTTTAGGGTTAGGGTTAGGGTTTAGGGTTTAGGGTTTAGGGTTTAGGGTTTAGGGTTTAGGGTTTAGGGTTTAGGGTTTAGGGTTTAGGGTTTAGGGTTTAGGGTTTATAGAAATTGTATAGGGTTTGTGTCCGGGGTTTTGACCGAGTTTTGACCGAGTTTTGACCGGTTTTGACCGGGTTTTGACCGGGTTTTGACCGGGTTTTGACCGGGTTTTGACCGGGTTTTGACCGGTTTTTTCTTTTGCTTTTGAACAAAAATGCGATGGCTTTCCAGGCTTAGGGGAGGTGGGGGGAGGGGGTGGGCGGGGGGGGGGGGGGGGGGGGGGGGGGGGGGAGGAAGGGAGCCATCCCGGAATTGGGTAGGGGGGGTTGGTGGGTAGATGGGGTAGAAATTGTATAGGGCTTGCCAGGCTTGGCGAGGCTTTGCGCAAAAAAGTTGGCGAGCCCGAAAAAAATTGGTGGGGCGGGGAGGGGAGGGGGGGGGGGCTCCGAATGCCGGACAGGTGTTTTTGGGTTTGGGGGGTTTGGGTAGATGGGGTAGAAATTGTATGGCTTTCCAGGCTTGGTAAGGCCTTGTGCAAAAAAGTTGGAGAGCCCGAATAAAATTGGTGCTTGGGAGACCTGTCTACTGAAGCTTTTTGGGTTTTTTATTTTCTCGCATTGTTTTCGTGCCAAGTTTCGGATTGCGAATGCGTTGGGAAATTGCAGGATGTCAGCTGCCCCGGTGCCAGGTCCGCGGCTGCTTCCAGTTCGTGCTTAGTGGTGACCGGCTGCAAGACCATCTCCCATCGAATAGTTTCCTTCATGGGGACGGACGGCAAGACCATCTCCCATCGAATACGGTCATACACAGCTTACAGGGTTTGCGTCCGGGGTTTTGGCGGGTCTGATGGGTCATGGGTTCTGATTTGCTAAGTTGCTGGTTGCAAATTCTTGGGCAAATATTGGCTCGTCTTCGGTATTTTGCAAATGCAAGACACGACTTTTCGGGGCCTTACCTAGTTTTTTTCTATGGGAAGAATGTATGTTCGATTCGCTTCTTGTGAGTTCGCTTCTATTGAGCCAAGAATTTTGCGTGGATGGATTGTCGTGGATGTGCTGCTGTGAGGAATTACACAAGCTTGCTGGATGTTCTTCCAAGCCAGCTCGTTGCTTCTTTTTCACCGAGCTGACGTACATTGGTGGTCCTGACCTAAGCTTTGGTCTGCGCAGACCCTGCTGCAGGTGGTGAGACATGGACGTTGTGTCCTCGGCTGCCGCGGAACCTGGCAGGCGGTGGGGGGTTGCTGTGCATTCTTGCTGCCTCTACAGACATGGTGGTTGCGTGTGTTGAAGCTCTTCCCTGCCGGCCTAGACTTCTCGGATTGCAAATGTGTTGGGATATCGGGCGAGGTCGTGCAAGAAGGCTTGGTCTGTCAGCTTCTCCGGAGAGCGCGTCGTGGAGTCGATGCGAAAGATGGTGTTGTTGAAGAAGCGGTAGGCCACCCAGTGAGCGTTGTCCCGGTTCTGTACGAGGCCCACGGCTGCTTCCAGTTCGTGCTTGGTGGTGACAGGCTGCAGCACCATCTCCCACCGAATGCGGTCGAAGGCCGCTAGAGCTTTGGATTGAATAACTTGGGCCAGAACCTCGGAGGAGTAGTAGCCATCTGCGGCCATGTGGTCCTGGGCGACTTCACCTCGCTCCTCTCCGCCCTCCTGGAGAAGGATTTGCACGGCTTCCTTCATGTCGGTTTCGGCGAAGACGGCCGCGCCTAAGGCGTTATTCAAGGCATGCATGCCGCAGAGAGCACGATCCTGGCGCTCGAAATATGGGAGGTTGCTTTGCGGGGATGGCAGGGGGGCTGCGGGCTGATTGCTCGTCCGCGCAAGCTTGGCTGATGGAGCGCTTGGCAGCGAGTCGGCTGCTGGCCTTTTGTCGGGGACACCGACGAGCAGGAACCTGCTTTTGGCGCTGGATCTGCTCTTGGCTTTGGCAGCGCTCTTGGTACGGCCCTTGCGCCCTCCCTTGCCCTTGCTTGTCGCCTTTGCGCTGCCTTTGGCTTTTGCTTTGGGTTTGGACGGGCACTTCTGCTTGTGTTCCTTGATGGCACGTTTGGTGTTTGGGAGTTCTTGTCCGCATTGCTGGCAGCACCAGGGAAGTTCACCATCTGCATGCTCCTCTTCTTCCTTGCGTTTCATCAGCTGAGCCCAATCTGGAGCGCCCATCTCGGCAAGCTTGGTCTCATAGAAGTCCTTGCTCTGCGGCGGCTGGAAGAGTTGCTTCCACAGTTGGGATCCGTCCCGCTCGGCTTGCTGGGCCTTCAGCTGGGTGAGTGCCCATTCCGCCTTTGAGTTGAATCGCAGGGACTTGGGATTGAAGAATTCCAGGGTGCAAAGGGCTTGCTCGGGGCAGCGGCTCAGAGCCACGTACGCTTGCCCCTCCTCCTTGCAGGTGGCATCGAGGCGGGAGTGGGCGCCATTCTGCAATGTGGCCGCCTGACTTTTGTGAATGGTGGTGGCCTTCGCTAGCACCAAGGGAAACTGCAACCTTGAGGCCTTGCTGCCTTCCATGTCCAGATAGGTGGCGGACCGTCGCGAGATGGCAACGAAGCTGGTTTCGTTCTCTGCGCGCCACTTGGCGCCAGCCTTCTTCTCGAATTCGATCCAAACCTTTTCAATCTCTCCAGTGGTTTCGTCTGCATCAATGTGCTCAACAAAGCCGCAGGCTCCGTTGACCAGGCCGTCTTGCGTGTCGAGATTGTACCTGAGCATCACGCGGACGCCGACAGCAAGGTGCAGCAAGGTTTCCAGGCCGGCCGTGTTCTCTGGATCAGCCCACACCACTTCGGGAGACAGCGGCGCACCAGTTTTGACATTCGTGTCTAGGGCAGGACTTTGGTAGAGCTTGACGCCGGTCCTTCTGACATGCTCCTCGATGTAGTGGCGATTCTTCTCCGCCACGGCTCTGCGCGTCGGGTACAGACACACGGCCTTTGGAGAAGGCTGCCTGCTGTCGTTCTTGTTCAGGACCATGCCTTGCAGCTCCTGAATGTCCTCTTCCGTCCACGTGCCGACACGAATTCGTGCGAGAAGAGCTGCCCACCTCGGGTCCTTTGCTGCACGTTGATTGCCTTCTAGCTCGCACAGCTGAAGCAATGCCCACAGTGAGCTTGCAAAGGCCGGCAGCCCGCCCGGCGGTGGCAGCTGATAGAGGTCTCCAGAGAACACGACATGCACTCCTCCGAAGGGAACGTGCGGCATGTTCTTAGCCAACCGCAGATGCTGATCCAGGCGCTCCAACATGAAGGACGATATGAAGCCCATCTCGTCCACGAAGAGGGCCGCCACCAGCTTCCAGATGCTTCGCAGCGTGGCCAGTATGGGGCCATTTGGTAGCGGCACGTCGCAGGCCCTTCCATAGCTTTGGTTCACGACGGGAAGCAAGCAGCAAGTGTGGAGAGTGACGCCGTTGATGTTCCATGCTGCCACCCCTGTGGGCGCAGCAATGATGGTTCCCACTCCCGCCTCCCGAAGCATGTGGGCTGCTGCCCGCACCACCACGGACTTCCCACAGCCGCCCGGTCCGTGGAGGAGCATGTGAAGGCGGTCAGTATTGTTGGTGTCATTGGTGTTGCGGCCTTCCCACACCGTCTCGAAGATGTACTCCATGGCTCTTCGCTGATGCTGTGTTTCTGTGCTGGGGTTCTCCGCGGCAGTGAGCATGTTGAAGGATTCCTCGCCACCTTCCACCGGCGCAAAGGCATCTCCAGGTGCTCCTGTCGGAACATGGTCTGGAGCCGCAAATTCGATGTCGTCCCCATGACGTGCCTTCAGTGCCTCCAAAATGTGGATGGAGTCCTCGTAATTGTCCTGCGCGATCTTGCTGTTGGCCCATCCATCTCGCAAGTGCGCAGGGTGCATCCTCGCCTTCATGTACATGACGGCCTGGACGGCCTGCAGCTTGCGAGCGGCGTTCACTGTCCCGTCCATTTGCGGGAAGCATTTCGACCGCAGGAAATCTGGGTACCCATCCAAGTCGCGGGCGATGCGCTGGAAGGCTGCTGCGTGGCTACCTTTGTCCTCTTCTTGCAGCCAGTCGCCTGGTTCCGTCCAAACGGAATAGAGCAGCAGCCTGGAGAACCAGAAGGCCTCCGGTTCCTGGTCAGGGCTGAAATTCCGGTATCCGACGATGGCCGGACGCTTTCTGAGCTGAGGGAATTCCACGCCGATGAACTTGAAAGCTGCGCAGAAATCCAAGAAGTTCATGTTCATGAGGCGGCATGTTGCAGGCTTGCCTCCTTCCACAGGCAACTCCACTTCGATGTTGCCGAAAGCGACTTGCATCTCCTTGTACCAGCGCTGTGCAGCCGGCATGTGTCCATCCCTGTCGAGCTTGTTGTTGCGGTAGCTCTCCGGCTGTTGTACCGCCAGGCTCTCTTCGTGCTGGGGCACAGACAACGTCCAGGTATCGGGTGGTCCGACTTGAACCCAAACGTGCTCCCTGGAGAACTCAACGATGGGAAAGCCTAGCAGCAAGTGGCAGGCCTCGAAGGTGGACGTGGTCCGGCCCTGCAGCGCTGCGTGCGCGGCTTTGTACACCTGCTGGCTGCCCAAGCTGGTGCCACCATGGTCATTGCGGCTGGAGGCGAGGCTGGCCAGTATACTCTCCATGCGCCGCTGGGCCGCGAGGTCTTGTTCCGATTTAAAGGAGTAGCCCAGGATGTAACGACTGGCGCTGGTCAGTTCGCAGATGACTTGGAGGTCCATGCTGGCACGCCACCGTCGCAGGATCTTGATGTTGTATTGCCCGAACATGTTGTCCCCCTGGGCCCGCCTGACCACGAGGCTGCTTTTCCAGCGGCTGTTGGCATACTTCTCCTGGGAGGTGCGGCGTCGAGTTCGCTCTTCGATTTCATTGTGTGGAAAGCCAAACCTGCAAGAGCCATACGTCTTGATGCCGCAATATTCACTGTGCTTGTGCCGCACTAGCTCCGCCAGCTGGGCATTTAGCTCCTTGTTGCGGGGTGAGACTTTCGTGGATTTGCGCCAGCTTTCTGGTGACTTCGTGCAGATGTACTTGTCACTCCAGTCTTCTGCGCAAGTGGGCGTGAAAGACTCCATGGCCTCTTCGTCCGACCAATCCGGAACTGTCGCTTCTGCTTCCGCTGTCTTCTCAGCGTCTCTGGAGCTGACTGCGCTTGTTCGTCGTGGCCATTCCACCGCCCAAAGCAGAATGTGAGCGTGAGGGTAGCCCCTCTTCTGCCACTCGATGCGGATGATGTAGTCTCGGATCTTGAATGGTGGGCGCTCCTTGCGAACGCCGCGGTGTCGGCCTGCTGAATCTCTCGTTGGCGCTTGCGCAAAGTCTTCAGGCTCTTTGCGGTGGCCGCTCTCCGGCTCGTCCTGCTCGTCTGCTTCCTGCTCCAGATGGGACTCTGTGTCATGCTCGGCCTCCAGCCATGCCATGAGTTGGTTGAGCTGGTGCATGAACTGTCGTGCCACGATCGCCGGCTGCTGGTTGCACAGCTGGTTTGGCGACAGATCGTCCCACTTGAACTGCTCGTCAGACTGGTAGCAGCGCAGGAGTTCAGCGGCTTGACGCTCCAGCTCTTCCGGATGCGTTTCAGGACGCAGCCGCAGTAGCCGCGCTGTGATGGCCGCAACAAGGATGTCGGGCTGCCGAGCATGGCAAGTGAGGGTCATGAAGAAGTTGGGTGTTCCGAGCTGCTCGTACATGCTGAGCGCGACCCCCTTCTTTGCGTAGATGTAGGGCTGAGTGCCGGGGATGTCCCTGAGGGCTGTGTAGACCTGGTTGTTGCCACGTTCGTACATCGTCTTTCTGCTTGGAGCCTGCTGGCCGCTGATCCGCACATTGATGTTGCCTGAAAGGCGCTTCTTGGTTTGCGTCTCCAGGAGCCACATGGTGTAGGCTGGGGATGCCTCGAAGCGTGGATCCTGGCTCAGCAAGCGCTTGCGTGCATACTGTGAGAAGCTTGGGTACATGCTTTGCCATCCGCCCGTTCCCGTGGGAAACAAGTGCGGGAAGAGCTTGACATCCATGTCGTCGTTGAGCGCCGCGCAACCTCGGGCCTTTTGTAACTGCCTTGTCTCGGCTCCAGGGATCTTCAACTCTTTGGGCAAAAGGTACGTCATCTCGAGATCTTCTTCCTTCTCTTGCAGGATACCGTGATTTTGGCTTCCCAAGGCCGAGGAGTGTGAGCCACCGGACTCCCCCGTTTGGCGCCCTTGGGAAGCTGTTTGTTGGCTCAAACGCTCGTCGACCGCATCAGGCTGCGCCAATTGGACATCCAGGATGGTGGCCATTTTGGCTATGGCTCTGTCCACGGCTGGATTGGCTTTGTACAAGCGGTGTTGGGCCTTCAGTTCCTTCAAAGCGTCGTGCAAGCAATCCAGACGGGCTGGAGAAGCAGTCAAGCCTTGAACTCCTTGGACCAAGACTGTGCCATCTTCCTCCAGCATGGCTCCCTCCAATACGTCACAGATGAAAGGGTCCTCCATGAGTACGGCGTACATGCGGCCCCACTGCGCGCTGGGGCCACCTGACGGGAGTTTGTCGATGAGGACTTGCGAGATCCGAGCCATGGCGATCAGGTGCTGCTCGATGGGCCTCAGTATCTGGAGTGCCCCTGGCGCAGTTGGCACATCTGGTAGGATGATCTTCGTAGAATCTTCGCGGCACCTTTTGCAAAGCATCTGCTTGGCTCCTTTGGCCGGGCAAACGTGCTTCGCAGGGGTAAGGGTCCGACACTTCTCGCAAACACGCGACAGCCCGAATCTGCCCCAACTACGCACGAATGCAAGGTAGTGAGCATCCACTTGTTCAGGCGTCAGCTCATCTTCATCAGGAAACGGGTACCCCTGCTTCTGGATCTCAGTTGCAACGGGCTTCGGCAGCTGAAGCCTCTGTGCTTGGCGGTTGTCCTCCTGTGGCTTTGGCCCCCGGCTTGCAAACCCGTGCTCAGCACGTTCGGCTTGCAGCTGAAGCCTCTGTGCTTCGCGGTTGTCCTCCTCTGGTTTTGGCCCCCGGCTTGCAAACCCGTGCTCAGCACGTTCGGCTTGCAGCTCACGCCTCTGCGCTTGTCGGCTGACCCCTTGAGGGGGCAAGGGCCCGCGGCTTGCAAACCCGTACTCAGCACGTTCGGCTTGCAGCTGAAGCCTCTGTGCTTCGCGGTTGTCCTCCTGTGGCTTTGGCCCCCGGCTTGCAAACCCGTGCTCAGCACGTTCGGCTTGCAGCTGAAGCCTCTGTGCTTCGCGGTTGTCCTCCTCTGGTTTTGGCCCCCGGCTTGCAAACCCGTGCTCAGCACGTTCGGCTTGCAGCTGAAGCCTCTGTGCTTCGCGGTTGTCCTCCTCTGGTTTTGGCCCCCGGCTTGCAAACCCGTGCTCAGCACGTTCGGCTTGCAGCTGAAGCCTCTGTGCTTTGCGGTTGTCCTCCTCTGGTTTTGGCCCCCGGCTTGCAAACCCGTGCTCAGCACGTTCGGCTTGCAGCTGAAGCCTCTGTGCTTCGCGGTTGTCCTCCTCTGGTTTTGGCCCCCGGCTTGCAAACCCATGCTCAGCACGTTCGGCTTGCAGCTGAAGCCTCTGCGCTTGTCGGCTGACCCCTTGAGGGGGCAAAGGCCCGCGGCTGCCACCTCCCTTTGCCGCCCGTTCCTGTTGCCGAGCTTTTCGCTTAGCGCTTTCTTCTGCCTGACGCTCTTCTTTCTCGGCTTGGCGGCAGCGTGGATCGCTGCACCACCCCTGTCCCCGACCGCTCCTGTTTCCCACACCGCATCGCTGGCAAGGCGCCATGGCAAATGTTCAGTTCTATCTGCAACTCAGGCTGTGTCTGAAAAGCTGCGATGGGTTTGTGCACCGGAGATTGTGAAATAAAGCGCATGTCAGAAGGATTCTCTAGCACGTGCAACAGCTTGTCAGTCTTTCCTTGCCATTCCACTTTACTTTTCTTGCTCCTGCGTGACAGATGCATCTGTGGTGACTTGGTTTGCTCTCAAAAAAGATTGTACAGAGCGGAGACAAACTTAAGAGTTCACGCAAGGTGCCTGGCGACTCTACAAGCCGAAGTCTGGTCAAGGCCACGAGCAGCAGCCTGTTGTCTTCACTGCGCAGCATGTCTTCACGGCTGCTGGGTGTCCTGCGCTGTGACGATGTCCCACAAGTCATCGGAGAGGACCAACGTGTCCAATGGAGTTGGCTCCCCATCTAAGACCGTGCACACTTCTTGGTTCCTGCTCTGCAGACGGCCTTGGGCTGCCACTGCTATGGTAGCGGATGTAGGAAGCTGTTCCATCAGTTCCATCTCCAGCGAATGGCTTGACACGCTGGCGATTCGCAGCACCTCTTCACCGGCCACCGTGGTGAAGACGACGTCGACGGCATTTTGATCCGCGGGCATCAAACTGCAAGTAATAACCAAAGGCGAGGGCACTTCTCGGACATAGACCTTCCCTGCCGGAAGATTGATCCAGTTGTCAAAGTGCAGTTCTTCCGCTTCGAAGACAGCAACATGAGGTGCTTCTGGATGCCATTGGGTAAATCGGCATTCCAGCCTATTCATGCCTCTGACGCAAAAGACAGGCATATACCATCCAGGGGCTGTCTCTGTGGCAAGCGCAGTGCCACTCCAGCCAATCAGCGACCAGGAGCCAGGACCGCCATCCAAACACCGGCTCCATTCAAGACGGCAACCGTCCATCTTGCAAGTTTCCAACACTGGCAGAAAGTGTGGCTCGTGTTCTCCCTTCTGAGCCAAGACTGCTGGTTTTCAAGAATATTCATTCTGTGTGTGTGACTCTCTGCTCTCTCACGTGAACCTTCCTCGGCTTCGTGCATTTCTTTTTCAACCGCCTGTTCAGAACCGTGAATGGGGTGGCCTGCGCTCTGGAAGTCCTCGCCCATGTCTTCGGGCATAAGATTCAGAAGTCCCAGTCCGCGTCCGGAGCCGTACCTTGGCTGCGTGATGACAGCCTGGAGATGGTTGTCCAGGGGACACGGTCATAGACTGGATTCTTGATTTTGGGCCCAAGCGCACGGCGGCTGTGTTTGGGAAAAAGCTACGCGTGACCTGGCAGTGACAGCAACTAAAAACTCGACCGTGACGGCAGCAATCGCGCTACATCTTTTCTTCCGGATTCCCAATCATCGAACAAGTCATTGCAGTTCTTCTGCTCACACCGCGTCCGGAGCCGTACCTTGGCTGCGTGATCTCAGCATAGTCGCACAACAAGCCGGCTGCGACGACACCTGGAGATGGTTGTCCAGGGGTGTACCAGGATAAGGATTTCCAGCTCTTTGAAGGCCTTTCCAGGTAGTTCTCCTTCATAAAATGCACCAGGATAAGGATTTCCAGCTCTTGGAAGGCCTTGCCAGGTAGTTCTCCTTCAGAAAATGCACCAGGATACGAATTTCCAGCTCTTGGAAGGCCTTGCCAGGTAGTTCTCTTTCATAAAATGCGCCATGGAAGGCCTTGCCAGGTAGTTCTCCTTCATAAAATGCGCCAGGATAAGGAGAAGGCCTTGCCAGTTAGTTCTCCTTCATAAAATGCACCAGGATAAGGATTTCCAGCTCTTGGAAGGCCTTGCCAGGTAGTTTTCCTTCAGAAAATGCACCAGGATAAGGATTTCCAGCTTTTGGAAGGCCTTGCCAGGTAGTTCCCTTCATAAAATGCACCAGGATAAGGATTTCCAGCTCCTAGAAGGCTTTGCCAGGTAGTTCTCCTTCATAAAATGCACCAGGAGAAGGATTTCCAGCTCTTGGAAGGCCTTGCCAGGTAGTTCTCCTTCAGAAAATGCACCAGGAGAAGGATTTCCAGCTCTTGGAAGGCCTTGCCAGGTAGTTCTCCTTCATAAAATGCACCAGGATAAGGATTTCCAGCTCGGAAAGCCTTTCCAGGTGGTTCTCCTTCATAAAATGCACCAGGATAAGGATT